AGCCAGTTCCTAAGACAGCTTCAGGTTAACCTGATTTTAAACCTACTGATTTGATTTTTTTTTTAAGGCTACATTATTGGTTGTATTAGTTTGTCTCAGCTAAAAACTTTTTTGTTCTTTCAAATTATATAAATGCTTTATGACATGTTTACTGAAAATTCAGTCTGTTCACATTTGATAGGATCAGAAGAAAATAACTCTCCTATACAAATAAAGTAGGAATACATTTTATATTGACTGTATTGTGAAAGGAAAAGATACTAGTTAAAATCACACTTACAAAAATGCAAAATAAATTATTTGGAGAAAAGAAGCAATAACTCAAAAGATATGCAATAGTTTGATATAGAAATTATAGGATGAGGTTCTTTGGCTTGTATTATGCAGCAAATCAGACAATTTTAGAATCTATTAAAAACAAAAAAATTTCAATAAAAAAATAAAAACATTGCAAAAGTGCAGCAACCTTTTAAATTAACCTTTAAAAATGCCCTCAAAATTATTTCTCCATTTGCAAAACTATCAATTGGCATGAAAATTCTGTCCTGAAAATATTTACCCACTATCTGGTTTCATTCTGGAATTCTGTACGGTGCTGAAGTTTCTACCAGAATTTCCACTATAGATCTGGTTTCATTCTGGAATTCTGTATGGTGCTGAAGTTTCTACCAGAATTTCCACTATAGAGCTTGAAATTGCAGGTTTAACTCTCAGAATCTTTCTTTTAAAGAACCTCTGGCTAAAACTTATTAACTAAGATCCATATTAAAAAAAGGTTTCACCTCTTATTTTGCATTATTGTGCAAATAAAAACCCTAAGTGAAATGTAAGGAATTCTTGCCAAGCCCCAGCCTAAATGTTTATTTTAAAAGATTACAATATTATGTTGATTTGTGTTAAAGTTAAAAGAAAATTAAGGGTCATCCTGCTGGAAAGATACTTACTGCACTCCTAGACCTACTTCCCTTGCGAGTTTTGCAATTGACTTTAAAAAGAACAGGTTTGCATAAGGGGGAAAACACTCTGCCCAGTCCAAGTAACTGAGCCAGGCAGATATTTAAGGGCAGAAGGAAACCCTTCTTTAACTGCCCCCCACTCCATTCGAAAAACTCACTGACCAGGGAAGCATGGAAGATCTGTAGAGTAAAGTCGCTATTTCCCTCCCGCCGAGCCTGCATACTGATGACACTTCCCATTTGCATATAGGTGCATAAGTCCACCCCACCAAACCATGTGTGTAGCAAAAGGAGCCTTTGAGAGCCTCAAAGCTAGGACAGGATTTACTCCTAACTGCTGAGAGCTGTACAACAATAATCTTCAGCTCTTTGTTGCTGCATAATACAAGCCAAAGAACCTCATTGTTACTTTGAAGTCTAAGCTCTATTTAAACCACATAGTAGTCTGATAGTTAACGCTATGTTAAGTAATGGAAAGTAAAAATGCTAAATATTTTAAATTAATTCAAGTTGTTAAAAAAAAGTAAGATTGAGGAAAAAGTGCAAATAAAATGAATGTTAGTTCTAAAGTTGCCGCAAGGAAATGCGTGAAAAAATGCCATAGCTCCAACTGTGGTAATGCCAAGTGCTCTTTATAGACACTTTGCAGCACGATACACTAGCAGTGGATGATCTCATTTACACTACAACAGCTTCTGTAACTTCAGTGGAGAACACCAGTACATCCGGAATTATCTCTCACTTTGATTCAGTACAGGTTTAAACCTGGGATAATTATTTGATTGTGTAACTGCAATTAGATTTTTATCCCAGTTGTACAAAACAAGCACAACATTGATCTAAATAAAAATTCAAGACAGTGCTCAATCTGAAAAATGGGGATGATGGCAAAATTAATTATTTAGCAATAGAAATTTCCTTCTAATATGTAGGGATGGGTGTTCTATTTTTATCTTCAGAAACCAGATTAATCTCCATTGCTTAATCTTGCAATGAAGTCCAACAATCCATCATCTATGATAAAAAATATCATTCTAGCTGAGCAAGGAAATAAGTACTGGCTGAACCTGTCTAGTTTAGCACCCTTGGGATCTGACCAGTGAAAACCAGAGAACTTGCTGAACCACGGGAGATCAATATTGTCTCTCAGCATTACCTACACTTCCACTGTGGACTGTACTCAAAGACAACATTTGGGGTAAATGAGAACTAAGTAACAGCACAGAAAACTGAGAACCAGGACCATAGGGCTTCATGGGACCAGTTTTATGGGAAAACTTGGACACATCCCATGTTAAGTGGACATCTGGCTAACTAAAATCCTGCCAGACTATTGATGTTGCAGACCAGTGTGTGCTGGGCTACAGAGGTTCAATCAAATGTGTAATGCTTGCACTATTTCTTGTTTAGGATCTCCACACATTTTATGCCTGCGTGTGCATGGAAAAACTTATACAGCCTATCATGTGTAATGCTTGCACTATTTCTTGCTTAGGATCTCCACACATTTTATCCCTGCATGTGCATGGAAAAACTTATACAGCCTATTAATGTTTTATAATGGATTATCAAAATAAGTTACACTTAAATGTCACAAATTGAGATAATACAAATCATAATTAGCACATATTCAGTAACAAAAATCAAAGAATTAAAAGCCTGAACAATTTATAAAATTTAGTTATTTAAGAAGTCTATTACCTTGGACAGGTTTAGTATTTTAAGGTTAGGACATGGGAACTTTTTTTTTTTCAACTTGTGTTTGATGGTACCTCGACATTACTCGTACACAGAAGATAGAAGCAGGTACACACTTTGGCCTTTGTCTGATGTCAAAGTCATCTTTGGAAGGCAATGATGGCAATTTTAGGAGTAAATTGCACATTCAGAAGAGAATATGAAGAATTTGCAAGCAAACTTTTCCCTAATCCCTTTTGACCATTTTTCTCACTGCGTTCACAAGAAAGTGTTTTTGTGAGGAGAGAATAGTGGGTATGTGTAAACTAAACAAGAGAAGATTTACTTGGCGCTCATTTAAGACAGAATGTTGCAACATAAATGTTTGATGTAACATTGAACTCCAACACTTTACTGTATGATCAACTAAGTGGATTAAGAGAGACTACATACAGAATTTTTATTGAAAAGCTTCTTTTCTGCCTGCAGATTATGCCTCACCTGCTTTCATCTTCCAGCTATGAAATACCAGAGATGCATACTATAAGAGTGAATGACTTGGATGGCAAAGAATAAGCAATGAAAGAGCAAACAAAATAGCCTGTAACAGGAAAGATCTATGTGAAACAAGCGGAATGACAAAAAATCTTGACTATATATTATGATCCCAGTTATCAAAGCCTCATAAGATAGTGGCTCAGATAATCATCCAAGCTGAATGTCTGGATAATTGTGAAAGGCATCTTAAGTCTAGGCACATGAACACTAGTAATGCATAACAGCATAGGTTAAATAGTGTATTTTCCAGGATGTTATTTAATTAATGTTTTCCAGATTTGAATTTGAACGCCTTTGAGGTACTTATTTCCTTTTAAAAATAAAACCATTCCATTTAAATTGGATACTAAGCAGTAGAATTTCATTTATACTTGTACATTGTTGCTTGATTAATGTCAAGGTAAGCCAGATGGTGAACTCAGTACAAACAAGCTAGTTAAACAAAGACTGGGATGAATGCTTAAAACAAACACACACAGGCCTTGCCTATACTGCCATGGGCTGGATCAATTACTACCCATCGATCTTGCTGGCAGTAAAGACATGCCCTTTAACTGCTTCTGAACTTTAGTAATCATGGAACTTACGATAGCAGTCCAGCATTTCTGACAAACCTCTTTGCTAGGCCAGTACTTCTTTACAGTCCCATGATGTCCACTGCAGGACACCTCTCTCCATGTTGTTGACAAAGATTCTTGTTTTTCCTGCCATTACTTGGCTATTCCTAAAAAAAAGCTAGAGTCTTCTATTTGAACCAAATCATGTGGTGATTTTCTTCCTAGGTCTTGTAAACTCAAGTGGACTAAGACCAAATCTCACGCACCAAGGCCAGTTCCAGAAAAATCAAGTTCAAATTAATATTGTGTTTTAGCTTAAAATGCATTTTTAATATAAAGCACTGTGTCAATTATACTTATATTAACTTGCTTCCATTGTAAAACTAGAATTATAGTGGGCAGCTTGAATAAACTTGATTGTTAGCTGTTTTAAGGATTAAAAATAAGACAGTTCCAGGTCTCCTGAAGAACATCAATGAACATTATTGGGGAAATTACTGCCAAAATATTCTGCTGGTTCAATTGTTTTGTCAGCTCAAGACAGCAGGTTACTCAAGCCGCCTTTGAATTTTCTTCTGGCCACTCAAATGGACAACTCAAGTCCATTGGTCACATATGGAAGCCCAATACATTGGAGCAGATGTTCCATGGATTTCTGGAATCATTTAACTTAATCATTGTCAGTTACTGTAGTTACATTAATTTTTAAATAGATTATAAAATGAAAGTTTAAGGGTCAGTTTACTTAATTGTAAATCAGCAATTTTATTCACTTTCTGAACTATTACTTCTTAGTACAAAAAAGTAATACTAATGCATTGATCTATGACCTTTAGAGATAGCAATTCAAATTCACTCAGATCACATGGGAAGTGAACTTGACTGAATCACCTGAGTCCTTTTTAGATATGTCATATCACAGAGTTACAACATTAAAATTATTTTTAATCTTAATTCACAAGGGTAAACTAACAGAAAAACCACCTGATCTAGTTATAAAGGACTGGATATATGGAAAACTTGTCTGTGAATGTTTGTTCAAATAATGATAGCCAAGTACTTAATCAACCTGTATGCTGTCAGAACTATTTTAGGTAAAGTAACCCATTATTGTGGTTTGTCAAGTATAGCAACCACTTTCCATCATTCCTTTGTGATACACTGAGTCAACTTTCTGCAGCATTAACATTTGCAACACAATAACTGCAGTGCTCTTATCTTTAGCACAACAGTAAAATAAAGACCACACAGCTTTTAATTTTAAAGAATTTTAATACAAACTTAATATAAACTATTTCAGTCCCTCTTAACATGTAAGACACTGACTCAAAATACTTTTATACCTTTTTTCAAGTATTGCACAATGTAGGTACAAAATTAATATATACGATTACATTTTCTTCCATAATATATAGCAAAAATCTTTAAACCTTTAACAGAAAATACAATTTGTGTTTTTTTGAAAAAAAGCAAATATTTCGTACATTTTAATTCCACCACTAAGGAATATTCTGTACACTTTAAATTTTTTTAGAATAATTGATGTCTAAGATGGGTATTTTACAATTTCAGTAAAAAAAATACAACATGAAGCTGCTGCAGCTGTCACAGATCACTGTAGTAAAAAGATATAAATGCAATACCATGTTGTAGAAACAATATATATACTCTGATATTTTACAAACTTTGTACTAAATTAAATTATACAATTAGAAAAAAGACCAATAAACCCACTTATTAGTGCCAATTTTTATATATATATAAAAAATCAGCCATGTCCTTGCTATATCTTAAATACTGTAAGAGGCCATATTTTGAGTATTTTTTTAATGTACAGTCAGTATAAAATAACTTTGTGCTTGGCTGGCAAATGAAAAAAATGCATGTTGTATTCATCTAACCAAGCTTGAATGTATTCATACTACAAGCTTTAAAAAATTCTCAAGAGGTGGAAAAAAGACACACCCTTGGGTACGTGCATTTGAACTTGTACAATAGGATTTATTTGTATTTCATTTTTGTTTTAATTTTAGTTAGCCATAACAGGCTGGAATTGCTGGTTAGAATACTGCATGTTGTTTAAGCTGAAATTCAAGCCATCAACAAAAGACTTCTCATTTAGACCTCCATAGGCTGCAAACATATCAAAGGCATTGTTGTACTGGAGAGGACTGAGGTTAAGGGGGCTGTCACCAGGAAATATGCTACTGGTACTACCTTGACCCTGCATGTTAGGGAAAATGAACTCCTTTGCATTAGGAGAAAGGGCAGAAGTCTTTTGCTGTTGCTGCTGCTGACTGCCTAGGCCAAGCCCATAGAGCGAGTGCATGGAGGAGGAAAGGGCTTTCTGCTTCAATAAGTCATTGACATTCAAGCCAAGGTTGGTGGGAGAAGTGCGGGCGACCTTGTTGCTACGGCCGCTATTCTTCATTTTGGTCGAGCCAAACTTGGTGGCAGCAAATGTGGCAGTGGTGAAGGTTAAAGGCTGAGTGGAACGGGGCATGAAAGTTGGGCTCACAGCAGCAGAGTGACCAAAGGGAGGAGAAGGAGAGCTAGACACTGAAGAAGCTGGATCACTAATTGGCATAAACACCTGGGCCTCTGGGTTAAAGCTGTTCTTGATTTCCTTATCCAACTCACATCCATTTTCATTATCATCCACATAAAGCACTTTCACTGGTCCCTTTTCACCAATCTGATATGAAACCTCAAATGGGTCAATCCAAACACTAAGATCCTGAGGCAGGTTGCTGCGAACATCATCAATGTCCAAACCACTCTCTTTGGATGCTTGCTCTATGACTGGGTCCACTTTCTCCCCTACATGTATACATCTATACCCTGATCCTTTGTATGGCTTTTCTGGATACCAGTGCCCTTCATACTTCTTTTTAAGAAGTCTTTCAAGTTCTTCACCAAAAATGTTGACACGTCGTCTGGGAAGTTTATTGTACAAGTATGAAATAATAAAATTGAGTGCTACTTGGATTTCAAGCTGCATAGCTGCTATGCCAAAGTTAAATGTCTGTTTCAAAACCCAAAGAAGAAAAAAGTGTTCAAGATGCCACAGGGAAACAAAATTTCATTCAAAGTGCTGATTCTAGTAGATTATTATCCTTCACCTTGAGTGTTCTTGTTCCTTTAAGAAAAAACAAAAGCAAATATATCCAAATAAGGAAGGCAGCAGATCAGGCTCCAAGGCCTAATATTTTGGCCTCACCCTCTACCTAGAAATAGGTTACTTCTCAACAGAGAACATTTGTAATGCATTGCCTTTGAACGTGACTGTTAAAACAAAGGACAGCAAATGCATTTAGCAGAACTTACAAACACTAAGAAAGATACATTAGGAAGGTGTTTAAAGAGTATAGCATGAGGTATTTCAAAATCATTTGAGCTTGCAGTTCAGCCCTTGAAGTTATTTGCAAAACAGCAAGTGTGTGTCTAAGACGTCATGGCAATGCTAACTGTGCCAGGCCTGTCAGGGGTTCAATTACCAACCCCCTATTCTGGGTGATTTATAGAACTCAGCTGCAAAATTTAGCACCAAGCTACTGACTTAGGATAAAAGGTCTCGGTCAAAAAAACAACAAACAAAACCAAAAAAAAACAACTACCACCAAACAACTCCATTTTAAGGTTTGCAAACATCAGTTGGGCTATAAGTTACAGATATAGTTAAAATATCTACTGGTTGTTTTACATGAATTTTGGCACTTGTATAATTTAACTAGGCCACATATATCTAAGTCAAAGCAAAACACCTGCACAAAACTGTGTGCATTTGATGGAAAAAATATAACTGAAGTAAGTGCCCATTGTCCAAAGACAGGGATTCTTTTCCCTCCCTCCATAACTATTACAAGAATATTTTTCACACTGTGCACAATCATGCAATAGAGCAAATACACTTTTTTTGTCTTGATTATGGCTGGTAAAAGAATGGTCAGTGAATCCATTCTTATCTACTGGTTCAAAAATTTTCAGCTTCTATAAAATTACTTAAATATCAGCTATATGCACATTTTAAAGTGTGCCAACATATTTGGGAACTTGATAAAACTATTATAACCAATAGGATCAATACTCTTTCACCAGATTGCCTCTCTGCCTCTCTCCCGCCTCAGATTTTATACTACATATAAAATGAACCCATGGAAGTTATTCCACTAAGAGTATAATGAAAATTCATATAAATATACAATTAAAACAA